GATTCCTTTAGAAGAGGTTTGGCAATTAGATTTCTCCTTCTCCAAAAGAACTAAAATCATATCATCGATCAGTTTTATACTTTTAGAAAAGAATATTATAATTTTAATTTAAAAAATCATTTACGTACATGATCTCCTGTCCCAGCAAGGTGTAAACAAATAGGTTTTATTTTATGAGAATGCCATTTACGTGGTAAAACCAATTGAAAATGTGAAGTTATTGTCTCGTAAGGCATTATATCAGGCAGATGTTTGTTAAATGGACTTTCAAAACTTCCCTCGATAACGTGACAATCTGACCATTCTTCATCCTGTTCAAATATGTACAAGCATTACAGATATTATACGTACCATATCTCTTATAAAATAATTATAATTTTAAAATATTTACACTTTACTTCACATACTTTAATTATATCGATTGGATAATCACGAGGTATAAGTTCATAACATGTTTTCCTATTAGCAAGGACTTTTCTAAATTCGAAAACCCTAAAATATAAATTTTGCAATTAATATTTTATAACTTACAAGTATACATTCGCATTATTTCAATTCAAGTTTCGAAGTGCGTGATTTTTAATAATTTTATTCATTTCATTTTCATTAAATATTAATATTTTCATTCAAAGAAGACAATTATCAGATATTTTATTTAAAAAACATCACCGATAATTTATTTAAAAAAAAAAGAAATATCACGTTATCCATTTTTCCATATATACAGTCAGGGCATTGAACATTCTCGAACACGGTGCGTACGTTTAAAATTTATCTTTGAAATAGAATCGAGGTTAATTTAGCCTTACCTCTTAAGATTTTCAGGGCTGCCCCAACCTTTCGTGAAGAATTTGGTCAATAGAATACTTCTATAAACGGCGTCCAGACGGCTTCGCGGCATTACGAATAATTAATTTTTAAATGTTTCTAATTTTTACTAGCGGTAAAAAAATCTATTGGCAAAAAATTCCACCAGGATATTTGTTATCCAATTTATGATCTGAGAGTAATTTGGATACTTCGCACGAGTACTACCATGTCGTAATTTTCAAAACGTTATTAACGATGTGGTCATTGTTCTTAAACTGATTGCGAACTTGCCGTAATTGATTATATTAGGTATAGCAATCAGACGATGGAAATGATCGGATCGGGTGACGTGCTGCGAGTATATCGCGTATGAACATCCGCTTCTCGCATCTTCACCTTTTTTTTTAGTACGGATATAATTACAATTTCGACGAATAAGTTTCTTAAATAACAACTATTCATGAGAGGACTGTTCGTTTCCTTACGTATTTACGTATGTAATTTCCAATTCCAATTAAGTTGCGCTGATAACATAAAATTCAATAGATCTTCACGATTTCTAATTTAAGTCCGCCAACAAACAAGCGCCATCTGTTGATAACCTGTTTTTTTTTCAATGGACAATAGTTGATAGTAAATAAATGAAACAGGTGTAAGATACCATCTAATGTCTAGGTACAATCTTTTTTCATAAAAAAAAATAAGTAAATTATTGTACAGTATTAACAAAAGTATTAAAAAAAAGAATTCAAAAACAGAATTACAAATTTCAGAATGCCAATAACTTATATACTTGTATATAATTACGTATTATATTATATACTTATTACATTAATAAATTAAACAATGTCTTCATTGTCGTGATAAATCGTTAAGAATTTAGATTTATAATAGAAATTTAATTTCTATGAACTAACGAGTAGTTTCTGTAAATATGATTATAGCATAAATGTACGA